GACCCAGAGGCACCTCGGAAGAAAGGCCTGGTGACCTGCTCTGACACATTGGCCCCTGAAAGTCCTGTGGAGCACAGTGCTGCTCTGATGCCCCTGGAGTCGCCAGGGGTCAGAGTCAGGCTTGGGTTTTGGGGTCCTCTCTTGTTAGGATGCTGTTTTCTTATAAGCCATTGCTAAGGGCTCAGAGGCTTAAGATCTTAATACCCACACTTCTTTCTCAATGTATTTTCTTCTCAAAGGATGGAAAATAAAAAGTCTGGACAGAATTTTCTTGAGTTTGCATTAGGCATGATTTCTTGATTTTTTAAAATTTTTTATCAAAACAGGGCGATGTGGAGGAGTTAATGGACTTTTTCCAGGCTACTAAGAGATACCATCTAAGTAAGAGGTTCAGCCGCAGGGAGCAACTGGTCCAGACCATGCAGTTGTCAGATGTCCGTGCCCAAGGCCTTCTGAGCACCGCTGCTGCTCAGCTGACCCGCCTCATCCAGAAACACGAGAGGTAAGGGCCCCGATGAACCACTGTGGCCGTGAGTGCTTTCCACTGGCGTCTCCTCTTGCTGACGCCTCATCTGCTCTCCCTGCTCCAGCCTTGTTGCTAAAGCCGTCTCCAGTCATAAAAGGCCTCTGCACTGCAGAACTCTGGAAACCTCCGCGTAGTCGAGAGAACAGTATTGAGCCCCCACGGTTCATCATTTGGTTTCAATGTGTATCAGCTTCGGCCAATCTTGATGTTGCTGCTGTCAGCTGCCCTTGAGCCAATCCCGACTCCTGGTGACCCCACATGTGCCGAGTAGAACTGCTCCATAGGGTTTCGGGGCTGTGACCTTTCAGAAGGACATTGTCTGGTGTCTTCAAGGCACCTCTGTGTGGGTTCAAACCTCCAACCCTTCTGCTGTCATTGAGCACAGATTGACGTAGCTATGTATCCTGTATTAGTTTCCTGGGGCTGCTGTAACAAAGTTCCCACACATCTCTCTGGTGGCTCAGAGAACAGAAACGTGTCCTCTCACAGTTCTGGAGACAGGGATCCCCAGCTCAGGGTGACAGCTGTTGTAATTCCTTCTGAGTCTCCAAGGAAGAATCCCTTCCAAGCATTTCTCCCAGTTTCTGGTCTGGCCAGCCATCCTTGGCGTGCCTTGGCTTGTGGGTGCATCACTGCAATCTCTGCCTCCATTGTGACATGGCCATCTTCCCTCCGTCTGTCTCTCTATATCGCTCCTCTTTTATAAGGACACCACCATAGTGGATTAGGACTCCTCCACCCCACACTCCTTGGTACTCCATACTCCAGTATGACCTCATGTGAACTGGTAGTGTCTTCAAAGACCCTACTCCCAAACAGGGCCACATTCACAGGTACTGGGGGCCAGGACTTCAAGACATCTGTTTTAGGGGCACCATTCAATCTATAAGGAGCTCTGGCAGTGTAGTGGATAAGCCATTTGGCTGCTAACCAGAAGCTCAGCGGTATTCAATCTATAATGTGTCCCACCCTGGATTGCTTTGATACAAATCCCCAACAACGTTCCTTGAGAAGTGACCAACGGCGGCTCCATGGCTACTCTGAAGCAGCTCGATGGTCCACAGTGAAATGTCCTCTTTGTAGGTGACAGGAGGTGCCAGAAGTCACGGAGCCATGGCTGTAAGGTTGGCTTTCTTACGGCGCTCCATGGTAACTTGTCGGTTCTGCTATGTAGGTAATTTTATCAGGCCTTTGCAGCTCCTGTGCTCGGTTGAATTTGGATTCTGTAAGGTGAAAATTATGCACACACTCCCCATCCAGAGATGCTAATGAATTTATCACTACAATTTACTTGACATTCCTGATTAATTGGCACTCAAGTGAATCACCTCCTTGTTTGAGCTAAAGTAGCCGATAGCTGGCTGGTTGTAGGCAGTCACCAGAGAAAAGTGCTTCCCCTTTTATCTTAAAGTTTTATTTTAAATGGCCGGCACAGACTTAGATCTCTAATGTGGGTGTTTGCCATTCATTCATTCACGATTTAGTCCGTCAAGAAGCCGACAGCCATTGAGAGTCCACCATGTGCCCACCCAGGGATGGAGCTAGGTTAGGGATTCTGTTGTTGTTAGGTGCCGTTGAGTTGGCTCCGGCTCACAGTGCCCCACGTACAGCAGAACGGAGCACCGCCCGGCCCTGCGCCGCCCTCACAGTCCTTGCTGCACTTGAGCTCATCGTTGCAGCCACTGTGTCAGTCCATCCCATTGAGGGTCTTTTTTCCACTGAAATTTTACCAAGCAGGATGGCCTTCTCCAGGAGCTGGGCCCTGCTAATGACATAACTGCACAAAGGGCATGGGGGCAGCATCTTCTGACCTCCTCCAACCTCACGAGGAGGAAACAGAGTCACATCAACAGCCCAAGACTGATTCCTATGAGGCCAGACACGCCACCACCCTCCAGCCTTTTACCAATTCTGACACCAACCATCCCTCCCACAGCACTCACTACTTCTGGGCTGGGTTTGATAATTCATTGCAGTGGCTACACCGAACTCACAGACAATATTTATGATTATGGGGTTCATTAGAGAAGTAACAGGCTAGAAGCCAGTTTTAGGAGTGCACTCAGGATACAGTTCTTCAGTCAGGGCAGCCTCCCCTCAGCTATGCCCTCAGACATGCCTCTCTGGCCCTCGGTCTGTTGACCTGGCCTCTGCCCTCCTCTGGCAAGTGTTACAAAGCTCTGTAAGCTCTGCCAATAGGTACACCTAGGTGCACGTCACTCCGCCAGCAAGCCTTCTGGCCAAAGGCACTCAGCGTTCTCACTCCATGGGCAAGAAACCCTGCCACTGTGTCTTGTGCCACTGTTAGCATCTCAGCTGGGCGTCTCTCAACTGGGTGTCTCTGCCATCTTTCTGTGAAGGAGGTCCACCGCAGGAACCTTGGGTCCAAGGAGATCTTGGGTTCAAGGACACACTCCATTCCCAGTCCACCTTCAGCTGTTCCCTCTTGATGGCAGTAAGATCGCCTCTTCTGCCTCTGTTATTGTTGTTGTTATGTGCTGTCGCGTTGGACCTGACTCATAGCGACCCCTCCTTGGGTTTCTGAGGTGGTATCACTACTGAAGTAGATTGCCCAACCTTCCTTCCAAGGAGTGGCTGGTGGGTTTGAACCACCAGCCTTTTGGTTAGCTTTTGCCTCTAGGAGGGTTTATTTTAAGCCCAGCAGCACAGCAAAACTAATCAGTCCTCACTTTAGATTTCCATACAACTTATTTGTGTGGTCCTGCCCGGTAATCTGCTGGGAGTCACAAAGACTGGCTAGAAAAGCCATACCAAGTCATTCACTGCCCCACAATGACCAAAGTACCTGATACGAAGCCTGGCCATTCTTGCTTCTAAGGGGCATTCTGTCTGTACTTCTTCCAGAACAGATTAGGAATAAAAAACCAAACCCCTGGCTATCAAGTTGATTCTGACTTATAGTGACAATATAGGACAGAGTAGAATGGCCTCATAGGGTTTCTTTCTTTTTTAAAAAAAATTTTATTGTGATTTGGGTGAAAGTTTACAGAGCAAATTCACTTTCTGTACAGCAACTCACATACACTTTGTCTCATGACATTGACTGCAATCTCCCACAATGCAACAGCTCCCCTCCCACTTCCTCCCCATAGTTACCTCTTCCCTGTGTCCTTCCCTCCATGCACTCCTGCCCCTTGAGCTGTCTCCCTGTGCATACACAGCCCTTCTATTCTCCCATGATTGATCTCTCCAAGGAGTGTATTGACCTAATGTAAATGTTCACCTCATGTGCCTGTCTTTTGTTTGGCTGGAAGCCAGGGTTCAATTCCAGACCTGAAGGGCAACTAGGGACCATAGTTTCAGTGGTTCCATCAGGCTCTATCAGACCAGCAAACCTGGTCCTTTTTTTTTTTTTAAATGATTTTGAGTTTTGTTCTACAGTTATCCCTCTCTACCCAGCATCTCCTACAGAGATCCCCCTCCGAGTGGTTAACAGTAGTAGCTGGGCACCATCTAGATCTTCTGGTCTCATAGTCATATAGACGAGGATCACATGGTGTACCAGTCACTTGGACTAATTGTTTCCATGAATCTTTGGTTTTCTCCATTCTTCTTTGCTCTGGATGAGGAGAGACCTATCATTGCATGTAGATGGCTGCTTGTAAGCTTTTAAGATCCCCATTGCTATTCGCCAAAATAGGATGTGGAACAATGTTTCTGTGTAGTATATTATACCAATTGAGCTTGATGTCCCCTGCCACCGTGGTCCGAAGCCCGCAGGTCCAACTACTCACTCCCTCTGGGTAGCTGGCTGTGGCCAGGAAGCTCATAGCATTTCTAAGGCTGTAAATCTTTATAGAAGTAGACTTCTTCATCTTTCTCTTGTGGAGTGGCTGGTGGGTTTGAGGTTCCAACCTTTTGGTTAGCAGCTGAATGCCTTAACCACGGTGCCCTCAGAGCTCTATTCCACCAGGAATAGTGGTTGTAACTGGCTATTCCTTACATTTACCTCTTTGGCCATTCTTGCCACCAGGAATTCTTTATCCAACATCTCTTGGGAAATTGTCTGTACCATAGTGACCCCTTGAGGGTTATTGTCTTAGTTTCCTAGAGCTGCTGGAACAGAAATCCCACAAGTGGGGGGCTCAAAGAACAGGCGTTTATTTTCTCGCAGTTCTGGGGGCTAAGTGTCCAAATCAGGGTCTCAGCTGTGCTTGTTTCTCTATTGGTATCTCTGCTAGACTCTGGTGTGTCCGGCCAATCCTTGAGTTCCTTGGCTTGTAGACATGTCTTCACGTGACAACTATCATCCCCTTGTGCATCTCTGTGTCTGTTCTGTTCTTTTTATAACTCAGACATGATTAGGTTTAGGATCTTCCTTACTCTGGTGTGACCTAATTGACACTATGAAAGAAAATCCTATTTCCAGACAGGATCACATCCATTATGGGACCCAGGAATTCAACATGTCTTTTTGGGAGGGACAATCCGTAAGTTACTTTCTCCCAAAATTCTTGCCCTCTTTTCTCCCCAACTGATTTCTTCTCTTCTGATGTTGAGCTTTCTCCAGTGTCTCTGGAGACACCTATGTTACTCTGCTTGTATTTCAGTAGTGTTTTAGCCACTCACTCTCCTATGTCTTCTTGAGAGGACAGATTTTTCTGAGTAAAACAGACACTAATATGGAGATGAGCATTCAGCCAAGCTCCAGTGAGTTTGGAGAGCCCATTAACCCTACGTCCTTTCCTTCTAGAGCCGGGTACCTGGATGACGATCAGATGGAAATGCTGTTGGAGCGGGCTCAGACGGAAGTCTTTTCTATAAAACAGAAGCTGGACAATGACTTAAAGCATGAAAAGAAGAAGCTCCACCAAAAACTGATAACTAAGAGAAGACGAGAAATGCTGCAAAAGGTACATAAGGCGTTTTGTTCTTTGTTCTTGCCATAACCGTGTCTGAATGCCCACCAAGCACCAGATGCCACACTAGATACTCAAGCCATCAGGGAGCTGGGATGAGAAGGGTGGCTCAGGAGGCAGCATGATGGTCATCTGTGATTGATTGGCAGTGACATTTTGCAATGCTGTGTCAAGAAGAAATCTAAAGGACCTATCCGGCCTCAACCAAGTAGAGTATTGTAGTAGATTAGGGATGTCTACATGGGCATAGGGATAGGAGTACTGGCTGAAGTCAACAATGATGGTCATGGTGGTGATAGGTGCTAACATTTCTTGACTGTCTACTTGTTGCCGTTGTTGGTGTAGAGTTGGCTTAGACTCATAGTGACCTTATGTAATAACAGAAGAAAACATTGCCTGGCCCTGCGCCATCTTCATGATCCTTGAGGTGTTTGAGTCCATAGTTGTGTAATGCCTTCCAACCTAGAGGGCTTATCTTCCAGGACAATATCAGACAATATTCTTTTGTGATCCATATGGATTTCATTAGCTAATTTTTGGGAGTAGGTCACTAGGCCTTGCTTCCTACCCTTAGATAGTTAGCAGTCAAATGCCTTAGGCACTATGCCACCAGAGCTCCTATCAATAGTACCTGCAAGAAGTATTATGCATGGCAGGTTGCCACCAGTCTCTTGTAAGATCTGCAGTCCATCCATTCTTCTAGATACTTTGATCAGTCCAGATCATCACAGATAATATGTGGTCCTGGGCCCCATTTTTGGTCTCTTTATCCTTGGTTCAATGATGGTCAAATTCAATCAATGGTCAAGATGAGAATCCTTGGTCCCAAAACTTCTCAATAAAAATCAGAGCTTCTATCAATCAAGTGAAAAAGTTATTCTGTACCCATCCCTCTCTCTCTCAGGTGGCATCAAACAACAACCTAGGTGTCATCCTATTTAGTTCATCTATCCTCTGAGTCTGTCCTTACTGTTACAGACTGAATTGTGTCCCCCAAGATCTGTGCTGGGATCCTAACCCCTACACCCATGGATGTGACCCCATTTGGGAATAGGGTTTTCTTTGTTGTGTTAATGAGGCCATATCAGTCTAGGGAGTATCTTGAACCTAATGAATTTTGAGATATAAAAAGAGCAGATGAGACGCAGAGACAGCAAGTACAAATGGGTGGAAGACAGATGTCATGTGGAGGTCACCAAGGAACCGAAGAATGCAGGGCTACAGAGACTGAAACAAGGATCTTCGTCTAGAACTGGCAGAGAGAGCGCCTTCCCCCAGAGGCAGTGCCCTGGATTTGTACTTCTAGCCTCCTAAATTTGGAGAAGACAGGTTTCTGTTTGTTAAAACCACCTACTTGTGTGTACCTTCTGTTGTAGCAACACTATGTAAGACCCTCCCTAGGTTCAAGACATTGTCTCAGTTTAGATCCTCATCATCTCCTACCTGACTAAGTGCTAGAGCCTTCCATGGGTCTTCTACCCCAGGCTCATGCAACTCTAACCAGAAGGCTGGCAGTTCAAACCCACCAGCCACTCCTCAGAAGGAAGATTGGGCAATCTACATCCATAGAGATACTGCCTTGGAAACCCAAGGAGGGGTCGTTATGAGTCAACATTCGACTCAACAGCAGTGAGTTTTTTTTTTTTTTTTTTCCTGATTTTAAGTACTCTTGATAAATATTTTGAGTGTCACAGCGTTAGTATGGAGCTCAACAAAGGTAAGGACTTAGAAGACTTAGAAAACTAGTGCTTAGAACACGACCTGACAGGTGCTCAGTGTACATTTGTAGAATGAATGGAGGAAGGAATTGATACTCCCTAGTCACCAGGGAGGAGCTCTGGTAGCATAGTGGCTAAAGCACTTGACTGCTAACCAGAAGGCTGGCGGTTCAAACCCACCAGCCACTCCTCGGAAGGAAGGTTGGGCAATCCTACTTCCGTAGCGATACTGCCTCGGAAACCCAAGGAGGGGTCGCTATGAGTCGGGGCCAACTCAACGGCACATAACAACAACAACAAGTCACCAGGGAGCTCTGGTAGCATAGTGCCTAAGGCACTTGACTGCTAACCAGAAGGCTGGAGGTTCAAACCCCCCAACCACTCCTTGGAAGGAAGGTTGGGCGATCTACTTCCGTAGTGATACCACATCAGAAACCCAGGGAGGGGTCGCTATGAGTCAGGACCGACTTGATGGCACATAACAACAGCAACAACAGTCACCAGGAACCTGTATTCTCACAAAATAGAACCACTCTTATAAATAACATTGCAATGGACATCTTTGTGCATATCAGCATTTTTCTCACCGCTCTGGTGGTGGAGTGGTTAAGGCATTTGGCTGCTAACCAAAAGGTCAGTGTTTCGAACCCCATCAGCTGTTCCATGGAAGAAAGATGGGGCAGTCTGCTTCTGTGAATATTTCCAGCCTTGGAATCCCATGGGGGCCTCGAAGAGTCAGAATCAACTCAATGGCAGTGAGTTGTGAGGGCCTTCCCAGCTGCTGTTCTTTCTCCAAGGAATATTTTTTCCACATCTTGACTTAGTCAAAATACGACCTCACCCATCAGGCACTGCTGGACCTTCTTCTTCAGAAGACCGTCCCTGACCTCCTCATTTAAGTTGTCTCTCGTGGATCTCAAGTTGTTTTTTCCCGCTCTATAATGTCACATTTTGCCATCACCATGTGCCAGACACACGGTAATAGTGATGTTGTTAGTGGCTGTTGAGTCAGCTCCGGCTCACGACACCTCGTGTGTAACAAAGCGGAACGTTACTCAGTCCTGCACCTGCACCGTTCTCATTGGTGTACTTGATGCCACGCTTGCGGCCCTGGGTCAGTCCATCTCATGCAGGCTTTCTTTCCTTCCTGCTGACCCTCTGCCAGACAGGATGTCCTTTTCTAGTGACTGTTCTTTCCTGACGTCGAATCCAAAGTAAGTGAGCCAAGTCTCGGCATACTATGCACCAGGCATTTTTCCAAGAGTTGTAAATGTTGTAGTTGTTTTGTGCTGTTGAGTGGATTCCTATTCATGGTGATCCCGTGATAGAGAGTGGAACTGCTCCAAAGGGTTTCCTTGGCTATAATCTTTATGGAAGAAGACTGCCAAGGCCTTTTTTTCCACAGCGTCCTAGAGTGGGTTTGAACTACCAACCTTTTAGTTACCAGCCAAGCACAAACCATTTGTGCCCTCCAGGGGCCTTTTGATATGTATGAAGCAACTCATGATCCTAACAGCTGCTCTGTGAGGTGGGCCCTATTGTTATCCCAGCTTCACAGATTAGGAAATGGAAGCACAGAGAGGGTAAGGAACTTGCTTTGGGTCACCAAGGTTGCAAGTGGAGGAGCCAGGATTTGAACTCACGGGGCTTTACCTGCTCAATCCATACATGTTTAATGAATAACTGAACTAGTCAGGTTTTTGCTATATGTTGGGTTATTTCCTCAGCAAGAATTTTCTGGCTGTGAATTTGTTGGGGAAAAGGGTATGAATGTTCTGTGACACCTGTGACCGGTTTCTGAAGTGTTTTCCCAAAGGACTGACCCCACCGAAGCCCACCCTCATTTAACGTCCCTTCCTGGCCTTCCCCCAGCACAGGGAGCAGCGGAGGGAGCTACTGTCCATCGGCGAGGCCTTCCGAGCTGCGGAGGATGCCAGCCAGTACCTCGGCGAGTGGCGGAGCGTGATGGTGGACCACAGTGCCGCCCTGGAGGAGCTGCACGAGCAGCTGGATCAAGCCGCCCTGGACGACCTCCGGGCCCTGACCCTCTCTCTGGCTGAGAAAGCCACGGAGGAGCTGCGACGCCTGCAGAACTCGGCGATGACCCAGGAGCTGCTCAAACGCAATGTGCCTTGGCTGTTCCTGCAGCAGATCCTGGAGGACCACAGCAAGGAGATGGCTGCCCGGGCCGAGCAGCTTGAGGGCGAGGAGCGGGCCAGGGGCCAGGCGGGTGTCCAGAGCGTGCGGCAGAGGCTGAGGGACGACGCCTTGGAGGCCTCGGCGGAGGAGCGGGCGGAGCTGAGGCTCTGGGAGCGCGCGGTCTTCACGTGAGTACCGGGTGCCGTCATCAATGGCCTCTGCTCATTGGTTCGCTCATCTCGCTTTATTTGATGATGGATCAGAGGACCACGCACTCCCTTCAGCTTCTCAGGGGGCTGGACACGCACACCTTGCTTCACTGTGCTTCCTGTTACTGCGCTTCACAGATGCTGCGTTTTTTACGAATTGAAGGTTTGTGGCGACGTGTGTCGAACAGGTCTGTTGGCGCCATTTTTCCAACAGCATGTGCTCCCTTTGTGTCTTTGTGTTACACTTTGGTCATTCTCACAATATTACAAACTTTTTCATCTTGCTGTTGCACACTGTTCTGCTTCCTTTTAGTGCTGCTCTGACAAGAATATACCACAAATGGGATGGCTTGAACGAATAGGAGTTTATTCTTTAAGTATGAGTTCAAAGTGCCAGGCTCTAGGGGCTGGGTGAAAGCCCCTCAACCTTGGGCTTCAGCTCTGCCTCTTGCTCCTGGTCCACTGGACCTGGAGGCTTTTCTTCACTCACCTGCCAGCTGCTGAGGCTGCCAAGCCCAAGGTTGACAAGTAATAAGGCACAGTCCCAATGCTAACAAACCACACAGCAGGCCATTAATTCAAGTCCATTAAAGGTCCCAAGATCGCCAGAGCATGGCAGGCTGCTGAACAACAACTCAGCTACATGCAGGGTCCAAGTGTGCCATAAGGACTGTTTCCCAAGGCTTCTCTTTATATACAGGAAGCAGACCACATCCCTAGGGCAGCTACTCAGTTCCTCCCAGTAGATCCCACCATGGAGTTGATTGCCAGACTCATCATGGGGAATACTACATCCAGCTGCCCAGCCACTCAACCAGGCCCAGCCAAGTTGACACACAAACAAAACCACCACACACACTTCATAGACAACTGTCCAATGTGAACATAACTTCTTCATGTACCATTGTTGTTGTTAGATGCCGTCAAGTCGGCTCTGGCTCATAGTGACAGAACGAAACACTGCCCGGTCCTGTGCCAGCCTCACAACACTTGCTATTCCTGAGCCCATCATGACAGCCACTGTGTCAGTCCATCTTGTTGAGGGCCTTCCCATTTTTTGCTGGCCTTCCACTTTACCAAGCATGATGCCCTTCTCCAAGGAATGATCCCTTCTGCCAACATGACCAGAGTAGATGAGAAGAAGTCTGGCCATTCTCACTTCTGAGCAGCATTCTGGCTGTACTTCTTCCAGGACAGGTGTGTTAATCTTTCTGGCAGTCCGTGGTACTTTCAGTATTCTTCACCAACACCGCAACTCAAAAGCACCATCTTTAGTGTTTCTTGTTCATTGTCCAGCTCTCACATGCATATGTTGTTTTTGTTGTTGTTATGTGCCGTCGAGTCGGCCCCGACTCATAGCAACCCCTCCTTGGGTTTCTGAGGCAGTATCAC